TCAAGGGCTCATGAGGGAGGGGGGAGTGGGGAGGGAGGGGAAAAATGAGGACCTAATGCCGGGGGCTTAAGTGGAGAGGAAGTATTTTGAGAATGATGAGGGCAATGAATGTACAAATGTACTTTACACAATTGATGTATGTACGGACTGTGATGAGTTGTATGAGCCCCTAATAAAATGATTTAAAAAAAAAGAGAGACCTGAAGGGAGTGTTTCTGGCTAATAGAGAGCAGGTTAAAATCTACTGATTGTCGGTGCTTATATTACCACCCGAGCCCCTCTTTTCATGGGCAACAAGCCATGCTTCGGAATATAGAAAGAGCTATGTTGGAAAACAAAACCATCTTGAAGAAGTGGGAGATGGACTGAGGGCCTGGCCATAGCAAAGATTTGAACCAAGAAACTGAAGTAGGGTCAAAGGGAACCGGAAATAACTATTGGCAAGGGCTTGAAATCACAGCTTGGGCATATTCGTTGTTCTGTTTTTATATATCGAAGCAAAGTTGCCAGCATCTCACTCTGTCCTGGGAGCTTGAAGCTCCTGGGCCACTTTCTCTTACTGTGCAGATGATGTAGTTAGTCTATTCTAGGGCAAGAAACAAAACTTTAATTTGGATCTAGAAGTATTATTATTTTGCGTCTCAGAAGTTTGATTTCACTGGCTTTTGGCTTTGGCTTTCAAATTAAAAGAAAAAAAAGACAAATTCATTGAAAAGTTCCTTTTAATGATGACAACAGTTTTATGTATTAGTCTTATTCATAGTATATATGTATGTAAATTTATGTACCGGTTGCGAATCTAATGGAATATCGAATGCTGGTCACTGGCTTGTTGCTATGAATATTAGGGGATGGATTTCAAGGTGCAACACAAGCATATAAGTGAATATTAACGTGAGACTTACTGTGAAAATTTTAAATTTTGTTCCCTAGATTAAGAAATTCCGTAGCCTTAGCATCAACGGAGACAACGAGCCCGAAGAACCAATGGTGATCAACTTCCGTCCACCCCAGCCACTGAAAAGCAGGCAAATCAGAGCCTCCTTCAAATAAGCTGGTCCCAGAGGTGGTTTCCAAATGCGGAATTCTTCAGATGTTCCCTTTAGTTCATTAAGTAGGTCCCTCAGCCAGTGTCCAGATCCTGACTCCTGGGTGTTTCCCTTTAGCTGAGCACAAATCAACCTTCGTGGTTTGGAACTTGGCTGCTTTGCACCTGGCTTTCTAGACCCTTCATCTCTCACGTGACTTACCAATAAAATGTGAAGCGCTAGACTAGCTGTCATGCCTGACGGAAATGCTGTGACCCGCGCCTTGTGTAACAGCAGCTGCTTGTCTGTAACAGAATATAAGACAAGAAGTAGGAATAGAATTCCTTGACTATATTCACAACACCTACAGGTGAAGAGTAGCTTCAGTTGTTCTCTAAGACACGATTTGAAGAACCTAGAAAGGTAGAATAGTAGAGAGAGAATGCCTATCAGGAGGAAAGCTGATCCGTGTTAGGTAAATCAGGTAACATAGTCAGGATTGTATGTAATGTAAATCAGATCAGATAAATGTTCATGATTCCAAGATGTTATATTTAAAAGAAAAATCAACTTTTAAAATTCTTATACATTTGTAGCCAGGTGACCGTCAATATGAATTATGTTGTAATTTAGAGATTTTTTAATTACTGAGATGTAAATGAAGTATTATCTATAAAAATTGTTATAATTATAGTTGTGATACAGAGTATATTTCCATTCAGTAATATAGCATTACATAAATAAACATTGTATTTTAGATATATTCTCTAATAAAAAAAAATCAGAATTCCATTTTGTGGTATTTTATTGTATCCTGCGCAAGTCAGTAGTAGTAGATGGCAGATGTCTCCTTTCATCCTGGGGATGCTTCGAAATAGAATAAGCCTCCACAATAGGAGAAACCCTGGAGGTCAGCTTACTATGGGCTTATTATCTGCTAAGAGCCATTTTTACGGACTTCATATCCGCTCCTCCAGTCCTCGTGACAACCCCGGGAGAGTTCATCTCACCAAGTAGAGAGAAGACCTGGCCATATGCAAAAGGCAGTAAGGCAGAGAAGCAAGAAGGATGTACATGCTGAGTCAATATACAGGTCTTGGAAATAAAATTGGCATAGTTTTATTCAAAGAGGAAATTCCAATTCTCCCAAAGAGGAAAAGACTGAATCCTAGAAACAGAAATTACACCAATTTATTTTTGAAATGGATTTTAACTATTTATTTCTAACAGCTTTTTTGGAATATAATTCACAAACGACACAGTGCAATAGTTCGGTCATTTTAGGAGTTGTATAACTGTCACTACAATCAATTGTAGAGCATTTTCCTCATTCTTGCACTCATCATTATCAGCCTTGTTTTTCTCCCCAACCTCCCCTGTCATCCCCCGACTGCAACCACCAATCCAGTTACTGTCTCCATAGATTTACCTCGCCTGGATCTCGAATTCAGACAAACATTAAAGAAAAAAAGAAGGCAACCACAACAACAAAGTGATAACAAAGTAAAGCAGAGAATAACCTCCATTGAAAAGAAAGCAGAGAATGTTAAAAACTAGAACAAATTAAAAATGGGTCAAAAGGGATATTGTGTTAGTCCAGGTAGACTAGAGAAACAAATTCACAAACACACATGGATATAAGGGAGAGGTTTCTATTCAGAGTAATTGAACATTGAGAAAACATCTCAGCCCAGTCCAGATCAAGTCCATAAGTCCGATATTGGCCCATATGTCCGATACCAATCTATAAAGTCCTCTTCAGACTCGCGAAACATATGCAATGATGCCGAATGTAGAAGACCACAGGCCATTGGATAGAAAGTCTTTGGACCAGTGTCATTGGAAACATCTCAGCTCTGGCAGGGGGTCTCTGCATCAGGGTGGGTTCAGGTGTCTGTCAGCTGCTGAGGCTCCCAGGATGTGAGCAGAGTCTCCCCCTTCCAAGGAGGAAGGACTGGAGTTCCCAGAATCCTCAGGAGAAGGCCATGCCCACACAGAGGCCTCATTGGCTATGATCTTATTGACAGGCTAGACTCCACCTGTACACTCTTAATCTTCAAATTGACAAGCGATTATATATCTACCACAGATATCAAATGGTAAGGTATCAAATTTTAGCCAATGGCATCTGTAATAATAAACTTTCCAATGTATTCTGCACGATAGCAAGGCTAGTCCACATCCCTGGGCTATGTACATGAAGTAAAGGTCTCCCAACGATTATGCCTGTGTCCTGACCATGGAATTCCTGGGTCACGAGTCATGCTGGACAACTGAGTTAGTATGCCGAGATTCTGCACTGGTGAGCATAGCATCGGTTTGCTGTGTTTGACAGGAATTTCCGACACTCTTAACTGCTTTTCCCAAGAATTACACTGAGTTTTATATTGGAGAAAGAGCATATGCTTTTGAGTTTGGAGACTTGCTTTGAATGCTAGCTCTTCCTTTCTGTAAAGAGAGGTTAACCTGGAAGTTTGTGACACTTGCATAAGATAATGTCTGATGTAAACAGGGATTAAAATATAGCAGCAGCCATTATTTGTACTTCTCTTAAAATGACTGTGTGGACCTTCACTTTTGCTTTTATCAGTTCTTTTCGGGAACAAACATTCTCCTCTGAATGTTGCTTTCTATCAGACTCACCTATCTAACCCTAGATGGAATTGTATGCAAACTAAAAATCAACCTCTGAGGATCTTGATGAATATATAATGAAAATTTTAATTCTTTAATATCTTCACATATTTCTCAGCTATATACTGAACCAGAAACTTTTCTACAACTTGAGTTTTCTATATAGATGGAATCTTGTTTGGCTGGTATATAATAGATATTGTCAAATACTGATTGGAGAAATGAAAATATTTTATATTTATATCATGCTTGGTAAGAGTGAAATTTAACCAGGAGATACACACATTACTCTCCCTCCTCCAAACACACAAACTAACTAACTTGTGTAAAAATATTTTATGTTGTATTTGTAATGTACCATAGATGATCCTATTCTAGAGTTTATTGGATCAGCCAAATATTCTGTAAGGTAAAGAAGTATATCTGTAGGACTCAGGCAGGGTTTGAAATAGGACCTTTTCCCCCCCGTTTTATGAAATTGATCCAAAGTTTACATTCTGCTTTGTTGTGACCACATTAACGAACTTGCTGTGGGAGAAGCAGAACAAATCTCAGGTGCTGTATCCATTCTCAAGTGCACGACTCAGTGAGATGGTGCTGTGCTACCATCGCCACCACACCATGGTTGCCATAGAAAGGATTTTAAACAGTTCTATTAGCCTACCAGCACACATGTCCCACAATTCAATAGTCCAATCATATCAAGAAGAGTGTGCAATCATGACCACTATCCATTTTAGAACATTTTCTCCTTTCTTGCATTCATTAGCTCTCCCTCAACTGACCCCACCAACCCATTAGTCTGTATTGATTTATGGTACCTACCCTGGATTTCATATACAGGAAGACAAAAGAAATGATAAAACTAACCACAAAGTCAAACAGAGGAAAAACCTTGATTGAAAAGAAATCAGAAAATATTAAAAACTAGAGCAAATTTAAAATGTGTCAAAAGGGAGTTCAAATGATAGGATGTTAAATTGTAACCTAACTATCTGTAATAATTCATTTTCCAATGCTCTTGTTCTATGTCACTGTATCCCCTCTGAGTTGGCAACTTACAGACACTCTAACACAGAAAAGAACTACTCCCTAAGATTTCCAAGACTGTAAAACTCAGATAGCCTCATTGCTCTCCCGCAGAGCCATAGGTGGGTTTGAACTGACTTTTTGATTATCAACCCAATGCTTCACCACTGGTCACGAGAGCTCCTTCTTAGTGACGCGTGAAACTTACCCTCAAGGAGCATTTCCTCTGGCACCCAGGTGTACCCTCTGGGACCCCACTAGCCCATGTGAGAAAGAGAAATAATGTCTGAGAGGCAGAAAGGAACAATTAACAAAGAAAGAGTTTTGATTTTTTAAAAAATCATATGTACTTTCCAAAGACAATCAGCAGCTTACAGAAAGGTGTGTTTAAACTTTTAAAAAAGCCATTTGAATGTCTCTTTTGCAAGTCACTGCTAGGACCTAAACTGCTAGCTGATTCATGTTGAATTAGAAAGGAAACAACACACAAGACGCTGTGGTGGGCAGAGCAAGCTGCTGTGTCCTGATCCCCAGAACCTCTCACTTCACACGTTGAAGGAGCTTGGTTGTTGTAATTGAACGGAGGACTTTGAGATGGAGAGAGTATCCCAGATTATCTGGGTAGATGTGTTGTGCAGTCACGAGGGTCTTACAAACTCAAAAGCAGGAGAAGGCAGTGTGACCTTGGAAGCAGAGCCCGGAATGACCTGCTGGAAACCAGCAGTGCCAGTGGTATCTAGAAGCTGAAGAGGCAAGGGGCAGCTTCTCCCCTGGAGCTTCCAGGAAGAACCAGGCCTCCTGCACTGGGGCTTTAGCCTGAGGAGACTCATTTTTTGACCTCTGCAATCATAACACACGCGTTGTCTTTCATGCTGGTAAATGTGCGATCCTTCATCGCAACAGCATTAGGAAACTACTGCGGACCGGACAGGGCCTGAAAATCCGCGAGAAAGACGTGATGGGCAGTCAGAGGCTGCAGTTGCATCTTGAGGTGTTGGCAGCAAGGATTCCGTTTCCCGGCGCTGTGCTCTCCCTCCATCTCTACCTGCGAAACCTCACCCTGTTGTGGATGCCCAGCTCATCCCTCAACTCGAAGAGATTCGTGCCTTGTACCTTCTTCAAGATGCTGTGTACTGTTGTGCCTCCCCCCTCCCCCTCCCCCTTACTCTTATTGTTACACCTTGACTACAATAAATATGTGGAATGGAAGGTACCACCTTTTCTTTTAAAAATATATCATATCTATCTTTTTAATTTATTATTAATTGGGAGTTAATATATATAACATATCATTCCATGGTTCAATCCCATCAAGCACAATTGTACAATTGCTACCACAATCAGTTTCTGAACTTTCTTTTTCTTCCTGGACTCTTTCATGTCATCTCCCTTTTACCTCGCCACCACCATTGACGCCCCC